CAGTTGCTTCGATCTTGAGTGAGGAGAAGTTTGGAGTTAATTGAGCTTAATTCAGACAAGCAGAGAGGGGAGCCATGAGTTCGTTTAACCTTTCTTTCTCTAGATCTCTTTTTGTGTAACGCTGGAAAACATTTGGTTATTCTGGATCAGTTTTTCATTTATTATTTGTCTAAGTAAACAGTTCAACTTTTATCGATTGGGTGCTCTAGTAGCGTGCGCCCTGTGTATGGAGGCTGTCATCCACCTAGTGGGTGGCTCGGGTTCAAATCTGACCTGTGGCTCCTTTCCTGCACTCTCTCTCTCTCTCTCCCTCCCTGGTCTCTTATTTTTGGATGTGTAATAGGGAGGAGGGAAGTGTACAGCTAAGGTTTCATTAGATGGAAATCTACAGAGTTGAATGAAATTTGTCTAAAATTAGGTCTGATGACCAGATAATGTTCTTTTGCAGGTTTTGATGTGTTTTTATTGCTTATCTAAAAATAATTTTAAGATCCTAAAAAATAGATTCTTTGAACATGAGCCAATGAATCGGGTATTTAAAAAGAAGATATAATGATCGAAAATATTGTAAGTCAGGGATTCCTCAAGCATGTTCTATCCTCACAGATGTGTGTAATGTTACCGGCTTTGTAGAGTAAAATGAAAGAGACCTTCACGGAGCTGTTTGCCTCAGTGCTTTCATTGTTCCAGTGGAAAGTGTCTGGCTCACTTTGTGTCGAGGGAAATGTCACAGACGCTGTGGCATTTCCCCTGGTTGTGTATACCTACAGTATGTGACGTGTGTGTTTATGTCTGTAGTCACCCAGGCATGGAAACAGTCGTCGTGCATCTCATCATTTTTTGCCGTTGCTTATCCTTTTTTCTTCCTTATCTCCTTAAACGGCCTGTTCTGCAACTATACTGTATCCCCGAGTGTTTTTTTTTTTTTTTTTGTATTCCCTTGAGCTCCCGGTGAAATGCTAAGATAGCTGACCTCAGTGGGCGGATGGTCTTTTGTGCAGCTAAAGCTATAAGTCCGTTTTTCTGCTTTGTAGGCCTCAGGGGTATTCAGATACTGATATAAGGGATTAACCAGTCAGCCCCCCCATCAGGGAGCAAAAAGTTCTAATCTGTAATTTCTGGAATATCCGTTGCATAATCCCAAAGCCTGGATCCGAAGATTACGCAATGGCTTTGCATTTTTGATGGTCAGTGTGTTTGTATCCTGCTGCTGTTGGTGCTGAGGCAGTTTGGTGACTCCTCTGTTCGGTCTGCACTTTGGATGTGCAGCTTCTTTTGCGTCTGTTTGCATATTTGTCTCTTCCTCTCTCGTCTTCTGTCCTCTCGCTGTCGTCTTTACTCGCCGTCTCAGCTTCAGACAGTCAGCCCCCCCCCCCCCGATCATCTTGCCTCTTGCTTTGTCACCGACCTCCCTAAAGATTACTGCCTTTCTCTGTGTGTTGTGCGGCTGATTTTCATCTGTTTGTTTCTCTCTCACAACTACATTTCTCTCGTTACTTTTACAAACTTCAATTTTTTTCTGTTGTAACATGTGCTCTTACATTGTTAGAAGTCTATATGCCAGCCATCTCAAACCCTTCTGTGTTTTTCTGCATGCAAAGTCTTGCTCTTGTATCTTCTCTTTTGTCTCATTCTGCTTCTGTCCTCTCTCTTCTCTGCACAGTAGAAGCTGACATGATCGAATTTCCCACAGACTTGAGTCAGAACATCATCACGTGTTAATTTTTGACCAGAAATGTGATGGTGCAAAATGGCTCTCGGTTGATTTCCTGTGAGATTTGACAGGGGCATTAGGTGATGAATGACTTCCATCGACCTCTATTGGCAGTCGGGATTAGCTGCAGCACTGACAGCTGGTGCAGCTTACAGCAGCCTATAATTACCACAAACAATCAAGTGATACTTGTAACACACAAGTAAGCTAATTAGAGCAGGAATCCCTCAAAAAAAAAAGAAAGAAACAGATTTGTCTATTTTCCTTGTATTGAGGAGGTGCACCTGGTCCTTCAGCAGATCAGGAGCAGTGTTTGTGAATGATGTTCGACTCAGGTCTGAGTGTAAAAATCTGGAGCTCCTCTGCAGAACCACCTCTCAGAAAACCTGAAAACCCAAGACCTCGCCTTAACTGGACCTGGTTTTATAGGTTCAAACATTTTAAGTTTTCCTCTCTTGAGTTAGCATGTATCAGGTTAGTGTTCATGCTGGTGTAAAGGAAAATTATAGTTTCAAACAACTTTAACAAATCATCGGTGTTAAATATTTACTATCACCAATTATGACAGCTTCTCACTAAAACCATACTATTAACAGCTCAACAGCTTGTTAACAAGAAAACAGTGATGGGAAAAGGTACATTAAAAGTCACACATTATGCAAAATACCCTTGACCATGTTTTTCTAACACTAATCCCTAGTCTGTCTACAAACATCCACAATTATGAGAAAAGTCCATCCTCTCCGTCTTCTGCCTGCACCACTTTTCAGAAAATGTGTGCTGAAACAAGCCGTTTGGAGATTTTCCCTTCATGACATCACAAAGGGCAGTAACCCCTCCCCCAGGTGGGTGACACTCCCACAGCTAGGTGTTTGTTGTGCCCACAATAGGGCATAGTGAAAGAAAGCCCCAGCAACCCAAGTCCTTTCAGAGAGGGGGCGTGATCGAACACAGCTCATTTGCATTTAAAGCTACAGACACAGAAACAGCCTGTTAGTGGCTGAAATAGAGGGGTTTATAAACATGATCAAATACAGGATCAGAGTGGATTTTGGGCAAGAAACTTCACAGATGTGTTTTGGGGAGCCCAAAGACTTAGTTAAACTGGTTGAAAAGAGGATATTATATGACCTTTAATGCCAAGGGGTTCTTCTGCATTTGCCTTGGGGTCTGTGAAAAGAGTGTGGAATAATGCTGCATAATTTTTTTTATTATTTAAAAAAAAATATATATATATATATATATATGTGTGATTAAATTATGCACGAGTGATTATTTATCAGTGTAGGAGACCCTAAAAGCTGCAAACTACATATATAAACTATTCTGCACAGGAAATCTGAAAGTTAAACTCAAACAGAGAACTAGTAATTAAACCTTTTGATTAAACTGGATTCTACTTTTTTTATAATTATGTTAAAAAAAAGCAGAGAGAGTGATTATGGAGACGTGCTGAGGCTCCTCTAACAGGACTGTGTGGAGAGGTCAGACATTAAAATAAGCTTAATAATAATAAGTATATGAAATAAGTTATTTTGTTATCTCTGCTTGTTGTGATAACAGCTATTGCTAGTTTGTGGTTGTTTTTTAGGGCTTGTTTTTCATTATGTCTTGTATTAATTTGTGGGTGCTTGTATCACATTATTATGATAAGAAAACAAACACATTTTCTTACCTTTCAAGAGATGTTTCCGCGTTCTGCGATCTCAGAATTTACTTTGGTGAGAGCGATGTTATTACAAATAGGAACCTTGTCCCAAAGCTGTGAAAATAATTTGTGCATAGTCTTTTCAGCAGACCACGCATGTCCTGATCAAACAGGTTCTACATGTCTTACTGCACTTTAATCAGTCTAGAAATAGTACTTGGTAACTTGCTTGAATTTGGCTCTGATATAAGCATTCATGTGAGCATAAAGCATGTTTTTTAACCTCTGTTAAGGTCAACTTAGACTGCGTCACCAGGACTGAAATCAGTCCCAAACAACTTCAGGCTCAGGTTCAGAGGTTCTTGTGTTTCTGCAGCGGTGTAGGGTTTTTGTGTTTGTTTCAAATGCACAGCTGCATCTTTTGGTTTAGTGCAATAGCAATGTGTGCATTAACATTTAAGTTCATGTTCTGAGGCCTGTGGAGACTAAAACAGTTTTCTTAACTTTCTGCTCCTTCCCCCTTTTTTTCTCTCTCTCTCTCTGCAGTGCATCAACCAGCATTTTTCCTCCCCCCCATGCTAACGTAGAAATGGCTGTTAATACTGAAGCATTTGCTAACTTTATCTTTCTTCCCTTCCCTGTTTTTCCTTTCCTCCACGCTTCATCGCAGTGTGGTGGCATGTCTATTTCTGTCCATCCTTTAAGTCTCTTTTTGGTGTTGCAATGTTTGTATCCCAGGGAGTTCAAGTAGTCCTTTCTTGTACTTTCTTGGCATGTACATATGTGTGTACATGACGCCAAGGCCAATGAAGCCCCTGCAAATCTCAACCAACTTTGAATGATTTCAGTCCGCCTTGAATTCATCTGATCAGCGCTGTGTTTCCTGTCCTCTTCCTCATCTTCCTCCCTCCCTCCCGGTCTTGCAAATCGAAACAAAAGCATCCCCAAGGGTGAAAGTTGAGAATTGCACAAGATCAATGGTTGAGAGCCATGCTGAGGCCTCAGTGGAAACTGCAAGGTGCAGTGTGAGAAAGAAACATTTGGAGTTACAGGTGTGTAACTCCCGGTCGATGAGAAGTATGTGTCATGGTGATGATGGCATATATAGATTCACACTTCTATATATGAATTTAGCTCAGTTACCAATTGGCAGAATGCAAGAAATCACGATTAATCACTTCAACCTCTTTATTTCCCCTCAGTTTCACAGATTGAACTCTTAAAATAATAATGACAATAAAACTGAAAACAAAATACATCAAATTCACAAATGTCTAAGAGCTGAAATTATGAGTGGAAATAAAAATGCAAGACAGAAGCTTTGCCTGTTACAAAAGAAAAAACACGCATGCAATGACCATGTGGAATAAGCACACACGAATACAAAAGCTGCAGTAGCTAACATTGTTTTGTAACATGCTGTTCGGACAGCTTGCCTGCAAGTACTGAGATACTGATTATAAAACAGAGCTCAGCCCGTGTATCGAGCTTTCCCTCAAGTCATGGTCACATGAAAAGGAGGGAAAAAGCCAACCACAGCTCTTACCTCTGAAGCCTGCGATCTGCTAATAGTCAAAGGACAATAACGTGATTCAGACGGTTCCTAACTGAGCGTTCTTCATCCTTTTCACTCTGTAGCATCTTTGTGCCATGGAGCCTGCGTGGAGGTTGACTCAGACACGGAAGCCGAAGTTGACTCAGGCTTCAAACTTGGCTGCATCTCCTGTAAAAGGAGGGGCGAGGTGTCTGCCGAGGCCTATGTTGAATGGGAATTCAAACCCTTCAATGACTCCGAGCCAATCCCTGTGAGTATTCATTAAATATATCTAAAAGAATGTCGTCAGTGATTTGTCTGCAGATATGCATAGAGGACTGATGGATGAAACTCACATTAAACGTAAAGACGCAAGAACATCTGTGTATCTTCCCTGCACAAATCTTACCGCTGAAAAAGCGTCCCGTACTGAAGTGTTAACACATGAAAAAGACTTAAAACCAAGACAAGATGATGGTCAAATTCATGTCAGTCCCTTTAAAGCTTCTGTGAGGAGTTTTTGACTAGTTATGAAAGAGACTAAAAATAATACTGATTCCTCGTTGACCTGCAAAAGCAAACAAGAAAACTAAAGGGTAATTTCATTGCCTCTAAGTAGGTATTGTTTTCAAGCCTGTAACGAATGCTGTGGGGTAGGTGTCAGACAAGACCAATTACAGCATGCTGAGGGAACACCCTCTTTTCATTTTCCACAACAATATGAGATTTTATCAAAACACACCACCTACGAGAGAGAGAGAGAATTGTCATGTGACCATGTGGAGAAAATAAAAATCTCAAACACAGCCACCACAACAAGGCCTCTGTTTTCTGAGATGTAATGCATTTATCATGAGAGAGAGCAGAATCTTGCATTTTTCATGACAGCCCCCCCCCCCCCCCCTTGTGTTGACTGGCAGACAGCACTTATTCTAACATAAGGAGTCCTCAGCAGGCAAAGCAAAGAGGCCATTACAGCATGTAGTTGAAGCAGGAGAGATCCCATTAGCCCGTTTAGAAACCGTATCCACTAATTCACCAGAGAGTTCAGAGAAGCCATAACTGCAGCTCAGTCGATGCAGAGAAACAGCAGCAGTGAGGTGGAGACCGTCTGTTTGTTTCCTCGAGGTATGACAGGAAAACTTCTCAATCCATTTGTTTTACACTCAGATATAAAGTCACACTACATGTGTGTGCAGGGACATGAACAGTGACAGTGTCCTTGATGTCAAGCGTTATATATATATTTTAAATAATTATGTAAAATCTAACTAGTGTTGTAGTCAAGACCACACTAGCCGAGATGAAGACATACCCGAGACCGGAGTTCTCCGAGACTAAAACAAGACCAAGACATTTAGGAATCGAGACCGAGTCAAGACCAAGACCAAGGCAGGGCTAGACAGAGACTAGACCAAGACCATAAATATCCCCGTAACTGGGGGATACAAATCAAACTATGAATGAATTAAAGCAAATGTTTCTTTTACAAAGGGATAATTTCCTTCTAATCAAAGTAATGACTTGGAAAAATAGGAGGTGTGGTGGTCTTGACAGATCTTGACTTAAAAAAAGTGATCTCGAGACTGGTTTTGAGAATAAGTCTGATTTCGAGTGCTGCATCACAACCCTCAACTAACTTTCTTATATGATTAATATTAATTTGTGGCTTATTTTCTAAGATTGACATATACATGGACTTCAGTTCTGCCTTTAACACCATACAGCGACACCAGATGATCAGGAAACTCCACCAGCTTAATGTCCCACCACTTCTCCACCATCACCACCAACACTGGAGCCCCCCAGGGCTGTGTGCTCAGTCCATTCCTGTTCACACTCTATACCAACGACTGCACCAGCCCCTCAACAGTTACCACATACTTGAAATACTCGGACGATACAGCCATAGTTTCACTTCTTAATGACAATAACTCAGTTTCAGACTACCAGCAGACCATATCTCACTTCACACAGTGGTGCACAGACAACTATCTCCAACCGAACATCACAAAAACAAAATGAATGGTCATCACTAACTCTGGTTCCTCACATACAGTCCATAACCCCACATACATTAACAATGAAACTGTGGAAATGGTCAATTCCTTCAAATATCTTGGACTCACCCTGGACAATAAACTCAGCTTTGATCAACACACCACCGACACTACGTTGCCAGCAAAGACTTTCGGCCATACAAAAACTCAGAGCCCTGTCTGTCTCACCTCACCTCCTGTTACTTCTGTATAAAAGCATTATCCAACCCCCCCTCCTCTACTGCTCACCCTGTTTCTTCAACATGCTCACTGCTACGAACAGAAATAAACTCACCCGTATCACAAATATTGCTTCGAAAATCATAGGCCTACCTATCCAAAACCTCTCACAACTCAACTACAGAGCCCAGGACCCCACTCACCCACTTAATCCACTCCACCGGGAGATATAGAACCCTAAATACCTAAATAACCCTAAATATAAAACCTTTATTTCCTGCAGCATGCTGTTCTTTGTCTGACAACTTCACCCCATGCATCTTCCCCAGGTGTAAAAAATAACTGTATAGAAAGGTCAGTCTTATTGCTAATGGCCTTGTTTGCTTTTGTAGCTCATTACAAGGCATCAGTTTTATAACCAGCTAAAGACTCCTCACAGGAGCTTTGAAGCAATTTATTCAGCAATCTGAAATTAATTTCACTCTCCTGAACGTTCAAAGTCTCACTTTCATTATACTTCCTACTTAATTACAAAATTATGTTCTGTATTTCTCTTCCAGATATATCGCTATGTAGATGTAGAAAACAAAGAATTTCTGGATTCCACCCTAGGTTTCGAGAACCGTCTGGAATGGAGAGGCAGCAATAACACCAAAGACCTACAGGACGGCTCCATTTATATCCACAATGTGACCTTCAATGACTCTGGAACCTACATTTGCACATTCTACCGCACTCTCAAGTACAACAACTACAACTTTCAAACCAACCGCACGAAGAATATCTTCTTGACAGTGGTGCCAAAACGTAAGGACAAGTAGGAGTATTGTTGGATCTTTGAAAGGGGATGAGGGATATTAAAAAAAAAACATTTGTAAGTCTGTTCTTTATTTCCAGAAGAAATTATTTCATGCTCAACATTTAACACAATGAAGAATGAGATCTTTTGGAAACACCTCTAGACCAGCTTGAAAAAAGATTTTCTCAAACCAAACCACTTAAAAAAGAAAGTGAAAAGATTTCTTTAGACATTGACATTGAGGGAGAAGCATTTTCAGATATTCAAGAGTGATGATTCTAGACAAAAGGACTGGTCAGTTACTGCTACTAAAAAAAGGAATGCCCTGAAACCAGCCGCTTGCAAACTTCATAAACCAGAAGCCCAAAAAGTCCCCTCTAAAAATCCACTCTATGCTAATATAGTGGGGGTTTTCAACTGATTGAGAGCCAGGTGTTCACTTACCACTTACAATTAATTTAAAAGGTGAAAAAATGTTGTGTCAAAAATGGGGTTTAAATAAAAAATACTCTGAAGTTCCACAAGGTTCAATGCTCGGCCCTCTGAATGTTCATGGTTGAGCTAAATAGATTAACATGTGAATGTTTTTCTTGCTACCAGACTTGGAGGAGCGTCTGAAATTTTTGCTTGAAATGATTTATCAGATATTAAAGTTAAGAGTTTCAGGAAGTATCCTCAAAAAATCTGATGGAAAATACTCATTCATAACTATTGGAAACCTAATTGGAAAATCAGCTCATTTTGCCATTGAAAAGATTTTTGAAAAGCTATGTAGGCGTGGTCATAACTATTTAACTTAACTAATTTAGAAGCTTACTTTGATGTAAATAAGACCCTTAACAGCATAGTAAAGGTTGTTGCTGATTTTGGTCTCCTGTGAGACTTTGACAGCAGAGAACTGAACGCCAGCTGCATATATTTCAAAAGTATTAGCAGCAGGATTCAGGGAATGATAAATTATACCACACTGTACATAATAACAGGAGGATGTGAATTATTAAAGGCTTATTGTTTTAAAAAAAATGTATGACATAGCCAACCCTAATAATCCCATTTCCAGTAGCAAACCGACATTATATCTTACTTTATCTCCCACCGGCTCTGTAGTCACAAGGGGATTGGCATCCATCTTGTCGGAGGTGATGATGTACGCCTCCATCATCGGGCTGCAGCTTTGGCTTGTGGTTGAGATGATTTACTGCTACAGGAAGATCGCAGCAGCAGGAGAGGAAGCATTGAGAGAGAGCGCGTGAGTAACACACACACACACACACACACACACACACACACACACACACACACACACACACACACACACACACACACACACACACACACACACACACACACACACACACACACACACACACACACACACACACGCTCTTTTCAATATAACAAACATATTGCTTTTTCCACTTTGCACTGATAGCTTGTTCTTATCACTGTCTGATTTTCCCCTTTCTCCCCCTCTTTTTTCCTTCAGGGCTGAGTATTTAGCTATAGCATCTGAAAGTAAAGATAATTGTGCAGGTGAACAAGTAGCAGAATAGCACAGGTAGGTATAGATCCTCACTCAACTTGATGTCTTTTTCGCTGTTGATTTATTGATGATATTCTTATATATATTAAACTGAATCTTGGACCAAGATACTAGTATAAAATAATATGTCGTTGACATCCCGTATACACTAGAAGATATTTTTTAAATAGTGCCATTTGTTTTCTAAAAGCCAGCATACATTTATCTACAGGAAGTCAATTTCATGCTTATAGGCATCTTTACCTTATTTTTAGTTTCTTATTTTTTTTTTAAACTTCAGGTCAATACAGAATCCAAGTCTGCTTCCTTGAGGAATTTCACATCCACCTTAATGTCTTCTCCTGTCACTGTCATTCATCGCCCCCGGTCCTCTCCACATTACGGAATGAAATGGAATGACAGAGAGGAAAAAATATCTTCCAAGAAAGGTTTTAAGTGACTTTCAGCAGAAGGACTGAACTGTATCTCACACAGAGGGACTGGAGGGATGCACCTGGTCATGTCCAACCGGAAAGACGGAGAGAGCGAGAGAGCTTTGTGTAAAATAGGTGTACAAGTTTGCACAGATAATCCTTGAACATAAGTAGAGTATATTATCAGAACTGTATATCCAAAATCTGCATGCTTACAAGCTTTTAAAACGACCGGCATCATGCTCTCTGTGTTCTGTCACAGCCATGTTTTTTTAAGAGTTTTTAGTCATTTTTTTCATACTGTATTTGATGCCACTAGTTGTGCTTTAGATGATACAGGTTTTATAAATTTGATATTTAACTGTGATGATTTATAAAGCGGGAGTTAAGGTTTAGAATTGATTTACTTTTAAATAGTCATTAGACTTAATTTGCCCATTTTTTTTTTGACAATATGTAACGGTCCAGAGTCCAGTGGAAACACACTTGTCCTTGGGTTAAATGTTTAATTGTGACCTATTTTGATGCCAAAGTTGATCTGCAGCGTTTAATCAAATTCAGCAAAGATTAGTTAGAGTTGTCAGCTTCTTAACCAAAGGAGAACACAGCAATTGAAAAAAAATGTCCATCATGTCAGCAGTGGCCACAGAAAGGTCACGGTGTGAATTTAAAGGTCACTTATCTTTGCATTTTTGGCCATATGTATGGTCAAATCCCAGCTGACAATGCATAGCCTTTTTGGTTTAAATGGGATGTCACTTTTTGAGCAGATAAGAAGAGCAATGAGTGATGAATCTCACTTTTCAAGTCATTTTATCAGCAGGTTTGAATAAAACAACTCTACAGGAATGTGACTGCAGTTGCAAAGCAGCATAAATGTCATTTGTGTAATGTGAATTCTACTTCAGCTTGAGCTCCAGGAGGCTATTTAATGACCATGTACGAAGTATTCAGAGAGTTTTAAGTCATAACTTCTATAATGCACAGAACATGCACTCATAACAAACTTAAAGTGCAAGGTCAAACTTGTGAGAAAAACTTCTCAGTTGTGTTTTAAATGTGAAGGATTGGACTCGGAAATCAAGATTAGATAATGTTGTCCCAAACTCTTTGACAACATATTGAAGGATTTTACAGTTTTTTTTAAGATGCTTAAACTCTCAACGGATAAATCAGCTAAATTTCCCATGACAATCAAAGCTAAATATCAGTGAAATACTATTTAATTGTAGCATAGTAAGAGGCCTTTAAAGCAGATCACCCTGTTTGAACCGGCTGTGAAACATTTCAAGCTAGTCGTCTTTTTTTTTTTTTTTTTTTTTTTTACATTTTCTTCTTCAATTTTTAGAGCTGGAAGAAATGTCTCACTACAACAGGAGGGTCAGGAGTGAAAAAAAAAAAAAAGATCGGCACCAGTGGAGAAAGTGTGACTTCCAGTGATGTTTAAGATGATGATTTATGTTTAACTGTCTGACCTAAAGCACCTAGCAGGTGTTGCAGATTAGCATCCACTATAAACACGATGATACTTGCATTGGATGGCTGTTTCCAGTTCGTCTATGTATATTGTATGGTATAAGGTAAATGTTACATGGACTTCGTATAAGGCTTTTTTTATTCTTCCGATTTCTCAAAGTACACCGCAGGTCACAACTACCCATTCACACACTGATGCTAGAGGCTGCTATATGCAAAGTCTTCATCAAGAGTAACTAATCCCATTCATACACCACCGACAAAGCAGTGGGAGCAACTTGGGGTTAGTGTCTTGCTCATGGACACATCACACAATCAGCTGCATGAGCTGGGGATCGAGCCTCCGATCTTCCGGTTAGGAGACGACCGACTCTACCAACTGAGTAGTATCTAGTATCTATAGAGTACCGTATGTGTCCCTATCAAATATACACCAAAAAACAAATTGTGGCTGTACCAATAAATCATAAGGGCCATGAAAGAGGCAGTTTAAGCTTTAATGTGTCTGTGTGGAAAATGTTGATGTGTTACACAAATGTCTAAGTGTCTTTGTAGAAACATAAGGGCTTCGCTTATTGCTATAATCTAACTGCCAGTGGGTAAATGTACCACAAAACCTGTCCAGTGTGCCTCCCAAGATGGAAACCAAAAGAAAAAAAAAGTCAAGAGCGAAAATCTTGACACAAAACTCTGGTGTCAAAACTGTTATTGCAGAGTTTTCGGCGATGGGTTACCATTAGATGGCAGCATAACACTGCCGTTCTGCATGCTTACTAATCATCTCTTTTGTACCCAAACTGTCTGACATACTGAAAAGGAGACGCTCACAAACTGATATATTAATACAGACTTACAAGCATGCTTACAGCTGGAATACTGAGAGGGTGCACTTTTATTTTCAGAACTTATACAGAATATTAAATAAGTTACTCGCTGAAAAAAAGCTGAGTAATTTTAAAGGTTATCGAAGTTATTGTAAACACTGCTGAACGAAGGGTTTTGGGATATGCATCATTTAAATATGAACCATTTTCCCTGCATAAAAGACACAACCAGTAAAAATGAATCCTGCCCCGCACAGCTTCCCACATTGTTTTGTCTGCTTTGTGAACACGTGTTTTCTCTCAGCGACTCATTAAACTGCTGTTTTCACTTCACATTTAGGTGTTTGTTGCTTGCCAATATCAAGAAAGAAGAGAGATGGAAATAACAGTGACACAGAAAGAAATAAAACACTTGTGAGAAAAACGAGTCTGGTCTCACTTGGATTCTCTTTGTCTTACTCGGGGAATATTTGATATGTTGACGTGTCAGGGGGGTTTGTCAAACATGTAACTTTGAAACAACTCCACCGATGTGATATATTTTTTTGATGTGTATTCTCTTGGTATCCAACATTTTCCAGAAAGATTTAAACTAATAAAAATCTGTTATTTATTAAGTTAAACGTGTTTATCAAGTCACCTGTCGTCAGGGGAAACATGCACAACATGTTGAAGCAAAGTTATTGACCAGTTATCTGTTTGTTTTTTTAATGGCTCTCTGGTATGAACTTGAACCTTTCATTCAATTCAATATGTGCCATCAACAGGAATATAACAGAAGCAGTATTTTGAAAATGTTAGGGGGTTATCAGATTAAAATAATCAGAAGCAGAGTAAGAATGATACAGGACCAATCTACAATGAAAAATAACAAAGGATAAATAAATACTGCTGTGTTTATGTAGAAAATAATGGACTCCTCAAGTTTGTGTGTATTTATATTTAACATCATACTGTGTGTCTGTTCATGTTAATGATTATACTAGCGTTATTTTATTATTTAAGATTTATTTTGGGGCTTTTTGCCTTTATTTGATAAGACAGAGGATAGATTATGAAACAGGTGAGAGAGAGAGAGAGAGAGAGGGGTGAATGACGTGCAGGAAAGAAGGCACAGATCGGACTTGAACCATGAATGTCCGCTTGGAGGACTACAGCCTCCTGTGGCGCGACCTAACCGTTAGGCCCTCTGCAGTCTGTGTTATTTTGATGTACTGGTGCCATTGTGAGTGTGATGTTTCTGTTTGTCTGTCAGCTGTGGTAATAGGTTTGATAATTTGGTGCTGTAATCGCCAATTCTTTGGATATTTCAGAAGCATTGGTCATTTCTGTAACGGGAGTTCCTATATGTCGGTTGCGTTTTCAAATGTAGGCCGCGTTTCTGCATTTTTTTTCAGGGAAAGATTCCCTTACTAGAGCCAGGTGATCGAGGCATGAGGTGAGGAAGTTCATTCAGTAGTGCTGAAAGTATAGTGTAGACTATAGTCTACTCCCGTAGTTTCACGTCTGTATAATTGGTTGTGGTATTGCATCTCCAAGCTGCTTAGCGCGTGAAAACACAAAGGAGATATCCACTCATTTTGTTTGCTGTCTTTCTGTATTCACATTCAAATAACTCCTGAAATGTCCAGAAATGTTTTGGATGAGCCACGTGTAAACGCAAACCACAAAATGTTCCACCTCAATATTACCAAGACTTTTTCAATCCAGTCACCTAGAAAAAAAGGAAAGGAAAAGAAAAACCGTCATACATCACCTTGTGAATGAACATGACTTCTTCTGTCGTCACATCTAAAAGATTCTGGTCTTCGATGGTGGCTGTTTGGGCAATGAGGTTCTGAAGTTACTGAACGATGTCATCAATCCGCGTGTTAATTTGTTTTTGCTTTCATGCGCTCCTCCTAGTGGCAGAAATGTCACATTGCATGTTTAAAAGAACATTTGTCCTCAAGTCAAATTAAACTTACAAAAGGGAAATATGAGTGCGTTTTAACTTTCACATAGAATCTAATGCACAAGTTTCACCACAAGTGATACAAAATAAATAATAATTCGATCTAGGATTTGAAGGTTTTGGATTTTAAGTCAGGAGAAATACATTTAATATTTCCCTTAAAGCTGTGAAACTCCAAAGGGCCATTTATAAAGCATATCCTGAAATACAAAGTTAATCTATAAAAACAATAATTGATATTTGAAATGATCTTAAGATTCTGCTGAATTCAATACCGCAGTACTTGATCTTTCATCTTTCCTTCATTTCACTTGGCTTTCCCGTCTTTTCTGACTGCTCATTTGAATCCTGCACACCAGTGCAATGTCAGACATTAATGTAAAACAGCATAAATATGAATACAAATATAATTCCTCTGATCAAACCTGTTTACCCTGCAGATTTATGTATTTAAATGTGGTGTCCTCTAGAAAGCAGTCTGCATCCCCACTCGTTTCAGAGTACCCTTGGGTCGAAAGTAATCTACAAGAACTCTTTTATTTATAAAAGGCTAGATAAACACTTCTTTTTAACTTTAACTTTTTTTTTACTTTAACTAATCGATGAAACTAGGTTTTAATGCGAGTCTAAAGGGAGTGAATTATTTTTTGTGTAACTTGAGCCTCAAACCAAAAGGGAATTTTCTGTCACTTTGTGACGGATCATAAAGTTTTTTTTTTTAATCTTGAATCTTTTAATCATAGCCACTGTGACTTAAACGGACAATTCAGAAATCAAATGAACGCCGTCACTGAGTAACTACTGCTTCTGTGATCGTCTCCATCTTTGGATAAAGTTGTTTTTGATTATTGTGAATGGTCAATGATTTCAGGTAAGGCATGTCCTTCATTGAATAACAAAAGGCCGTCTCTTGTTTCACATGTTCCACATTTTTCTGCAAGAACTAGTTAACAGAAAATCAATCTGCAATATTTTGATAACTGACCAATGATATCAGTTATGACATGTTTCTTGTATGTGCTTCATGTCTGATTTGACACCTGAATAACAATCAAAACCTACAGATCACCAGTCAACTGTGATCTTTAAGACTTCACAACAGTGACGTACAAATAAAGAATATTTTAGCCGATAATATGTATTTCACTCCTTTATGTTGCTTCCCCTGAGCCAGAGTCCGAACACATTTGATCTAATTATTGACTGAACAGTGTTTGACCGAATGTGAAAGCTAAACAAGCTGCAAAATAAAAAATCCAAGGCAGATTTAGATCCACTTTTTTTCATAGTGAGAGCAAACACAGACTCAAAGACGAGAGAGGAGGTGTTGAATGTTTTAGAACTTTTCATTTCTCTCCATGGCGTGGTGTACAGTCACATCTTTACAGTACAGTCTCATTCCCGCTCCTCATCCGTCACTCTCGCTCCCTTAGCCCCTCCCCTCCCTCCCTCCCTCCATCCCTGAATAAATATTACACTCTTTAGCTATTTTTGGATGACCACGCACAGCATGGCCCACATGCTTCTGTAGCCGCTAGTTTCATCAAAACGGGGAGAACGAGGGAACGGGTGAAGGGGTGCACAGAAGGGAAGTGAGGGAGAGTGGGGCGGAGTGATGAAAAGAAAGAGAAGAAGAAAACTAAGAGCGAGTGCAGACGAGTGAGATGGTCGAGATGTTTTTCAAATATCTGAATCAAGTGGACGGAGAGGACCGGACTGAAAATAAACGACAAATAAAGACAACAAAATAATGAAGATCAAAATGGAAAAGGAACTGAATAAAAAGAGAAAACAATAAATCAAATTGATTTTTACAAACGCAAACACACAAAAAAAAAAAAAAACAATACTGCAAAAAAGGATTCCCTTCTTCTTCATCTGGGCCTACTCAATTCTGGTTGGTCCATTTTGAATTTATTCTTCTTTTTTCTTTTTTTTTTTTTAAAAACGCCCGGCCCGGTTAGACAAGTGTTTTAATAATCATGTCTCTACCTGATCAGGTCTACGTAACAACCTGAACCGTTTCGGTCATGCTCTGTGATACAAAGAGCGAGCAACCAAAACGTGAGCGAGAGAAATCCGCGGAAACAAACGCTAACATGAAAATGTAACAGTGAGGGCTTCTCTTGAACGCACACGCACACATCTGCCAAGTCTTCTTCGCTTGTATTTTTCACTGCCTCTACGCACATTCACACACAATTCATCATCATCATAATTATTATTATTATATACTACTTTGTTTGAAACATTCAAAAAGTACTAGAATCACTATTGTCATTATTGCTGTGACAGTAATCCTTCTCGTGTAGCTCCTCTTGGTCCGCAGCGTAACAGCAAATCAGAGCACAAAATACCGACCAAATGACTTCTTGAGAGCAGGACAGGACTTCAGACCAAAAAGTCAATGGTGATAATAAATACTGTAACAGTCCGTGGAACAGTCAGACGCAGTTTGTTGTCATAAAATATGAACCAACACACTTGTTTTGTAAGAAGATAAAACCCAGACAGGTCTGGGGTGGGGGTGGGGGGGGAAGTGGAGAGGTGTTTACATCTAAAAATGAGAGTGAAAACCAGAGTGTCTGTTGAAATGTTCCTCATTGGCTCCCACAGAGTGACTGACAGCCTTAAATTGGATATGTAGGAGAACAAATCCCTGACAGGAAGAGCGAGAAAGTTGCCTGCTCCTGTCAGCACTTCCCCCCCTCCCTCTCCTCCTGGGCGTTTGTTCCTCACATCCGCACAGCAGGTGGCGCCACACATATACATATATATATATACATATATATATATTGTTTTGTTTTTGTTTCAGCAGGCATTCTCTAGAGGCGAAGGTATCTATCTGTTCCCAGGACTAGGAGGAAAAAGCTCCCACTTTCCAGAATTTAGATCCCTTCTCATTGCACGGATGAAAGCTGTCAGAGGAGGAGCTGGAGTCTGTGATAGTCGTAAAACAAGCGGAAGTTATTCAGTCGGTCATTTTGAAATCTTTCTGTGATTATTGAGGAGTGAAGGTTTAAATCAGCCCACCAGTGGCCTGTTTCCATACACCACATACAGATTACTTGCAGCTGTAGGTTCATTATTGCTGTGGTCCTCAGTCAGTGGAGATTTTACCGGTTGAGGCTGAAGGCAAACGTCGCCAATTCAAGTCAGTCAGGCGAGGAGAATTTTGGGTAATGTAGTCCCTCTGCATGTCCCACTCGTGTTCTTATTCCATTTGGAAATGAGGGAAAGAACAAACTCAGTCCTGAAGTTCACCAGTCCACTCTTTAGAGTGTGTTCAGAAATATGAGACATTTAAGGGGGGAGGGGCTGACGAGAAGACGTGAGACTCAGGCGTCAGTCAGGGTCTCTGCGGTGGTCTCATCGAGGGGATCCTGCTGCACCTCTGGGACCACGATGCCTCGGTGAAGCTTTTCTAAAGACTGCTTCATCTGGAAGACAAAAATGGACGGGGTGATGTTGGGGGTTGGGGTGATGAGTCAAATTTACTTGATAATGAAATGCAGGGACGATCCAGCACAGTTTGTGTGATGCATGAGATTTCCTGCTGGATAGTCCCTGTGGCCATCTCTACAAGCAGTTTACTCTAGACTCCATTACAGACAGACAGACAGACAGACAGACACACACACACACACTTACCTGGTCAAGGAGCGTGACAGAGGATTGCAGGATCTGCTGCCACTTGCTGAGCTGAGCCTGGTGAAACTGCCTCTGCAGCTGTAAAACCTGAGCCCACTCTCCAGCTGTCTGAGGCAAAGGACTGAGGAGGAGAGGAGAGGAGAGGAGAGGAGAGGAGAGGAGAGGAGAGGAGAAATAAAACAGGTTTAAAGCCTGATACAAAAAGTGTTTGTTTTATCCCCCCTTCATGACAAGTGAAGGGTGTGTGTGTGTGTGTGGGGGGGTTCTTGGTAACAACCATTTTGGTGCTGAACTGGTTTGAAAACTTTTTTTTCAACTTTATTCATAAAAAAAGCACTGAGGACAACACAGATAATCCAAACACAACTTGAAAGCTATCAAAAAGCTCTTCTTTCTGGGTCCCTAATTAGAAGCAGCACATTAAACATTATCCATTAAGAATCTTCAAAAACATAAAGTGTCATTTTTTTTTATCTACTTGTTGAACAACATGCAACAACAGATTTCCTGACCTGTAATAACTTCAAACTTTGTTTAGGCCTCAAATCCCAAAAGAGAAACCTTGGATGCCACATTCCAAGATAATTGATGGTCTACGTATGTTTGGATGGAAAACAGTGCAGGGTGTTTACCTGTCAGCAACAGAATAGGAGTGCCACGTCTCCAGTGTATGGGCCGCTCTTTCCAGAGCGTACAGCTTGTAGAACAGCAGCATGTTGAGAGCCACCAGCACCACCAGACTGACGGGGAAGAGAGAGAAAGGATGGTTCATTAAAATGACTGCTACTGAATATATCTCAATAAAAAAAGAGTTCAAATGCTTCAACTAATCACTAAGAGACCATCAGTGAGATATCAAAAGGCAAATAAATATATTGTTGACAGAGGATAAACAAATATGTCAGTATTTCCTTCCCTAGTTAACAACACAATGTCAATCTATTACAGGACAAATCCACCCTGATGCACGTGTCTGTGCCGTAAATAACTTTTTTTTAAACGACTGAACGATGATGTTGCAGTCATGAACACTCTTTTAAAGGGAACATGTAAAATCCAAGTTCACAGTGTTTTTGAACATATATGTGGGTAACCTGAGTGTCTACCAACACACAAAATGTGAAATAAAGCCATCCAATCCTTTGATTGTGGTCTGTATCAGTCTTACAACACAGAGAAAAATGCTCCGTTTCAAATTTGCTCTCCTTGTGATGTCACAGTGGGATTCAAGCAAAAAAAACAAAAACCTTTCTCTCTCCTGGTATCTCCCCCCACGGACTCCACCCCCAGCCTAGAGCAAAACTTCTTCTCGCTATGGAAGAGTGATGTCTGCCTAAATAACGACTTTATTCTGGATTTAGTAACAGCCATCAGTCACAGAATCAATATGTCCTCTGCCAGTAGCCTTTAATAGTCCAGAATGCATTGCAGCTAACACACATGCTGCATGTGGAGGGAAGAGTGTGATCCTTTCTTTCCCTTGGAGAACTTTTTACTCTGCTGTAGCTTTTAGTCTCTCTATATTCCCACACAGCTGACTAGTCAAATGCTGTTGCTTGAAGAGTGCTGAAAGTCATTCTGGGAAATGTAGGAAGTGCTGAATTTGTGGCACATGTAATTGATGTGGGGAAGAAGTGGATAGAACATAAAATAGCACTCTATAATCTCTGATCATTAACAACATTTAAAGGTTGTTTGGTCAATGAGTTTGACATTCCTAAAAGTCCCTGTTTCTGTTTCCCATTGAAGACACAAGCACAGACAATCAGAAGAAGCTGAATTTTGTGAGGCGTGCTACAGACAGAAACGAGCTTCATGCTCAATTTGAGTGCATCTGAGCATTGAAGGGTGGATTTTCCTGTCTCGTCTATTTTTATTCATTCGTTTATGCAGCCAGAGGTATTAAATCAAAGCCTCTCATACTGACCTGATACAGATCCTACTCACAAGAAGTATTGCAGAAAGGAAAGGAAAAAGAAGAGAAATAGCAAGAAAGGCACAGTGAGGCTGTTAGTATGCAGAAGATCGATATCCAACATGTCTGAGTAAAAGAGGAACATTCAGACAGGGATAGAAACAAGACAGCAGAAAGCCAAAACAGTAAAAAAAAATAATCAAACCAAAGATTTGATCAGACAGAAACTTTAGATATTCCTCTATATTACAGAATATAGGAAAGGATGTCCTGTACTTCTGAGGAGGGGGGCTGCATGCAGCGATAACTCATTAAGAAAATCCAATTCTTTATGATCTCTTCAAATATACTCATCTCTGTTCTATGTGAGGTATAAACAGTAAATAAGACGTAAAGCCCACATGATCAGTGTGCAGTTAAACGTGCTTGAAGCAATCTTGAGGGTAGGAAGGTGTGAACGGGGATTCAGAGAGTCTGCTGATTTGATGCGACAAAGACACAGCATGCACATGAAACTTACATGAAGCTGACGATGAGGAGGATGGTTGATATACTACTTTGTCCTCCACCACGGGAACGATCACCCAGCTTTATATACTGAGCGCCTGCAAAGAGGAACAAGCCAAAGTTGTCAGTCATTTCAGATCCATCGTGGTCATATTTCTAACAGGAATAACTAAAGCCCAATCCCAGAAACACCTTCTTGGCCATCGTTTTACTGCTTTCATGCTTCTTAATAATACGCCTTAATACGTTCATACTTCTGCGTCAAATCTACGGCATAGCTACTTTTTTTGTGGCCTACGTCGTAGTGAGCATTACATACTTAAGCGTTGGTGTCTCTGCAATACTATGCCTACAAATGATAGTTATATATCGCTTCTTTCCGGTTCTGCCACATTCTCGGCTCGTTTGTGTACAGGAAACCATGGTGACTGAAACCGATCGGACTATGTTGGAGTTGGGGATGACACATTTTGAGCAGCAGTTGATTGTACTGTAGTTATTGGAAAGAAGAAAAGACAGGAGACATCGGAGGAGGTGGAATATTCAGCTCAATAGCATTGTTAGCTCAGGCTACTAGTGAGCCTGCATTTAGCACACTGAGGTTTTTAATACAAAGAGCACATGTTCTCATCATAGTAAGACTCGGTATCCAAATGTTCTACATGTGATGCACGTCAGGAGAGGAAAAGGAAGACCAATCACGGGGCTTCCTGTCTGCGTCATTTCGACACACAGTTACATTTCTGAGGAGGGGCGTATTCGACACAGAAGTATAAATCAGGCTTTAGAATCTGTGATGGCCTTCATGAGCAGAGCTTACGAGGGAAGGGTCTGAATATTTACAGATGAACAGGTTTAATACACACAACATGGACATAATTGCAGAGTCATTTAAAGCACATCAATCAAACATGTACGGCTAAAAACATGCCATTTTACTTGAATGCTTGTCATGAGGATGTCATTATCATTGATGTCTTACACTGTAAGATTTGTTCTGCACAGATAATCCATTGCACATTTTATAGATTTTGTGTTTCTCATATTTTTACATTTTTAAAATTCTATATTATATATTGTAATTGCTTCCATATTTTATTATTTAAGTTCTTGCTATTTTCACTTTATTTCCTTTGTTAACTGTTTTTTTGCACAAATACACCAAGTCAAATTCCTTGTATGTGTAAATGTACTTGGCAATAAAAAATGATTCTGATTCTGAATTCTGATTAAATATTTATTTGCATCTTCATTTAAATAGATATCAATCAATCAATCAATCAATTTTTATTTGTATAGCGTCAACTCATAACAAGTGTTATCTCGAGACTCTTTACAAAAAGAAGGTAAAAGACCTTACTCTTTGTCTTTTAACATTACAAAAGAGTAGCTAAAAAGACCTTACTCATGGTTATGTTACAAAAAGCAGGTAAAAGACCTTACTTATTGCTATGTTACAAAGATATGGGGTTCTTTCTTTTCCTCAAAGCTGTGTTTTTTTTATAATATCCTGTCTTTGCTGCTCAGCATTTGAGGGACTGGGTTCTGTGTCTTTTTTTCAGTCCTGAAGCTCCACCAAGAACCACTAGAGGGCAGTGTATTAAAGAATATAGATTCAGTTGTTTTGATTGGCTACATGACCTTCAATATTGGTGGCAAGGATAGAAATTCCCACACTGGTGCAAAGCATTTCAACACGTGTATCCCTTCAGACTTACTGGTCTCCCTCCTGTCCCTCTCCTCCCCGACTCCTCTGTCCCCTCGCTCTCCGGCGCCCATGCCTCCTCCTTCTCTTTCTCTTTCCTTATCGCCCTGCCGCCGAGAGCACGTCCGCTTGCGGCGCCGCAAAGCAGGCGGAGTCTTAGCAGCATCTGCACCCACTGCTTCCCCTGTGGTTACCACGTAACCTCAGACTGCAGTAGCGTCTCCAGCTTGCACACCTCATTCTCTGCACGGAGGAAAGTAAACAACAACTGTCAGAACATTTCCGAACACAGCTGAATGTTTAAATCTTTTTATGTTGAACATCTAAATATCTCTCACTACATCTATCGATCAGAGGTCAAAGTGTGTCCTCATCAACATATTACAGGGCCTTAGAAAATGTGTTGAGCAAGGACCAATATTTATTTTAAGAGTTTAAAGGCAGTATCAGAAGTATATAAAGTTGCCCCCTTCTCCCTGCCTCAACAACACCAGTAGATTCCTCTTAGATGTGTGCTTACAATCTGTCACCTGCTCGCAACATATAGAGTCCTGTGTATAGAGTCCTGTCCCCATACCATGTGACTGACTTTGGCCTACATATCTGCTGCCCAAACTTGGTGATGCGAAGAAATGTTTCTGACCCAGCAAAATGAAGAAGTGCCAGGCAGAGGGCAGGGTCTCTGCGGAAACAGACTCCACATAAAAACAATTATGTGTATGATATTTGAGGATTTAAGTAGACTATCTTTTTTCAGTTCCATTCTCAGAGTATGTGCCCCGGAGTTTTTACATGTCCCACACTGCACTGGGTTTTGCAATTACCCCAATGCACACAATGCATTTGGGCTAATTGCACATGAACCAAAACCGGCTTCAAATCAGCCTCTGGTTTCAAAATGCTTCTCTTGATTGCGTTTCTTAACTCAGTTAAAAGGTCAGCACAGAAAAAAGCTTCTAGTGTTTAAATTGTATAGGGGTCACCTCTATCATCCATGTTTAGAAAGAATAATGAGAATGCATTTTGGATAGTACTGAACATGAAAGTGAAGTATCAGTACCAAAAAGGAAAGAGTGCGGTAATTCAAAACAATAATTTCTCGTTCTAAAAGCCATCTAAAAAAACGTATCAAACTTAAAAAACCCTATCAGTCAAATCTAAAGGAATATGAATCATAGACTGAATGAAAGGAATATTATCTATCTATGTAAAAAGGGTTAAGTGGGATTGGCTCTCACAAGCCTCCTTGACAAGTTCTAACACTTCTGCAAACACAATCATGAACAAAAAACACACAAAGCGACTAAAGGCCGTGCTCTTATCTGCTGAATGAAAGCCTTGAGAGATCTGCCGTTGATATCAGGCGTGGCCAACTTTCACTTTACTTTTGTTCACATATGCACAAAGGGAAAATACGTCTGAACAGTTCACTTTGCGTTCAACAGGCCGTGTGTATGGAGAGACAGGCTGGAAGAGATGGACTCACCCATGTGTCTGTAGTACTCCTCAATGCCGCTCCAGGTGTTCTTTTCAATCAGTGTTTTCACCAGGCTCCATGGCTGCTTCCTGTAGCAGATGTCTGAGGAAACTCTGAGGAGAAACAAACAAAAAAACACATATTCAGAATACATTTGTAATGAGCTATTTACAAAGAGAACTAGTTAACCTACTACTGAGTGCTTTAACATAAATCTGTTGGAGGAGGAAACTGTAGAAGTGGCCAATAAAATTCCCTGCAAACTTCCTTTGAAAACCATCAACCCAAGTGACACATTTAAGATAGCACATGAGAAGTTAAATAAAGTATCCCTGTTTATGTTTCCGAAGAAATCAATCATAAAACACACATCATGGAAATGGCACCACTCCAACGTTTTGAAAAATCACACTCATGTCAACACTTAACAGTTTTATTAGAATAAATCACTACTGTTGAAACCTTTTCTATCTGCCTGTATCTTTTTATAATAACCTGTTTCATTATTTTGTGTTTTGATAAGACAAGGCACTCTTTAAGTGAGCTAGAAGAAAGTATCGGTTAAAGACAATCAATTGTAAAAATAGTCCTTTGCCTTGGTCTTTTTCAGACTGTGACAAAATAACTGTGCGCAATTATTCTGAGTTACACACAATATTCAGAATCAGAACGGAGGACCAAATGAAGCAGAGGCCCTGGTGCTGATGTTCACGACTTCAGATAAACGTTGAAACAAAACTGAAACTTTGAAGTAAGATCCACAAATCAAACGAGAAAGGAGAGACATGAGTAAGAAAGGAAAAAAGTGACAGCAGCTGTCAACAACGTGCTTTTAAGGGTTATTAAAGAAAGATATATTTTTACACTGTTGGCATGTGGATCAATTACGCAGCACTTTCTCAGTTTTGGGAAAAAGTTGAAGCGCTTCCTGTTAACGTTATAATGAAGACCTAAAATAACATCTACTATATAAAACCTCATGATGGTTCCAGTATTTAAAGAAAAGGCCGAAAATGCTTAGACTCCACGATGTGCAGACTCTCACTGAATCAAAAACACTTCATTGTGTTTACTTGGAGTCATTTCAATAGCTGACTAAAGCCGTTATCATACATGCACTTCTTCACATTTCTACATTTCTGTCTGCATTTGCTTCTCTTCCTCTGTGATTGTTTAACATAGTCACAAAAAGTAAAGAAAGATGCTTTGCTCTTTGATCCTCAGATTCTGACATCAATGACTTGTGTTTTCCTAGTTATAAAGTACATGCATTATAAAAGGTAATGTTCTGATGTGTCGTCAAGTCAAATAAAAATATGTCTGAGCAGTGATCTTTGCAGAAGTAAGAAAAAAGAGACCAGTTAATAAAAGCCACATCCTCAGTACCTCTTTAGTGCAGTGGAAGGCTTCTTTTTTTTTTTGAGTAAAGCAGCAAGGTGCATGTGACAGAATCAGGAGGAGAAGGCTCAGCTGGGATCAAAAAATATATACCATCGAGAGTTTCTGGTCCCTGAGGCTGACAGACTTAACCCTCAACTACGGTTTGCATCATCTACTTGGCTGCAAAGCGACAGCACGTGTGTGAACGAGGAAGCCGTAAAGAGGTGATGAAACACGGCAGCGCTCCCTCCGGTCGACTTCTGTTTTATGGTGTTTTGTGCTTCAGAGAGTGGAAAACATGAAACCTGTGCTCAGCAGCTGCTCGGCCTTAAAACTAAAGTCAGTGTTTGTTAACCTTACAATTCTTTGAGTTCAGATTCAGTGCCTCTCAGGACACAAATGTTTCACTCATTTTAACCCTTCATATTCCTCTGATGTAGAGCTAAAAATATAAATCGATCAACTGTTTCGTTGTCACTTTATAGCTAAACCATAAAACATAAACATCTTCTCAAGGACTCAAAACAATATTTATCACAGTCACAATTTAAAGTACTTGAAAAATTGCAAACAAACATCTGCACACTGAAAACTATGAGCTGCCTGTTGCAACACAGTCTGAATGGGGGATTTGAACATAAGTCACACCTCTGAAAAGGCAAATAGCCAATCAGAGTTCAGGAAAGGAATCAGGAAGAAGCAGTGTTATAGGATGAACAAAACAAAACCTGTACCTCACTACCATCAGTGTGTGAAAAGGTATGAATGTGTAGGTGTGACCTGCGGTGTAAAAGCGCTTTGAGTAGTCGGAAGACTAGAAAAGCGCTATATAAGCTCAAGTCCATTTACCATTTTACAATCTGACACCCACTCATCAGTGTGAGTGATCTTAATGCCCTGAATGTAGCTCTGTTAACTATGCCATCTCCTGTAAATGGATGTCTCACTGTGAGTCATTATTTTCAAAGAGATCAGGTATAAATTCTGCGATTTCAACGTCTTCATGTGAATATTTTCTCATTTTGTTCTCCTCTACGACAGTTCACTGAGTATATTGGTATTATTGACCAAACATGTCATTTGAGGATGTCATTGTGGGCTTCGGGCAACACGAGATAACTTTTTTTTAACCCACAGTTTCACTTATTAGTTTATGAATCAAAAAAACTAATCCAACAATAGATGATATTATGGACCGATTAATCAACCAGAAAATCCTCTTTATCTGCAGCTTTACTGCACTGATGTTACCGGCCTCTCCAACATGTAGAGCAGTGGTTCATCAGTTAAAGTTATTCCTTTATCATTTTGTAGATAGTTATATAATTACTAGCTATTTCAGATATATAGCTTTAGTATTTTGAGATTTTTTTCCTTCATGAAATCTAAAGTATGTTAGTAAATCTGAGCCCATAGCTCCAGGGGCGTGTTCAGACTTTTTGGACTAGGGTGGGCCCAACTTGTGCCGGGGTGGCCTGAAGTTTGTGTGCATACACATTAATGAAGAGCATTTATTTACCCCTTCTGTCAGCACTAATCACACCAAGTAATAATTTATGGAAACATATAGAATAGAATAGAATTACTTTATTGATCCCAAACTGGGAAATTGTGGAAATATATCTACTCAATGACTCAAAACAATACATATGTCTAAATTCACAATTTAAAGTATTTGAAAAATTGCAAACAAACATCTGCACACTGAAAACTATGCGCTGCCTGTCGCAACACAGTCTGAATGGGGGATTTCAACATAAGTCCCACCTCTCAGCAAACAGCCAATACGAGTTAAGGATTTTTGGGTGGCACCTGGGGTGGCCAATAAGATTTCAAGGGGGGGACATGCCAGCCCTCTGGACACGCCCTTTCATAGCCCTTTAGTTCAGCATACATAAACAAAGCATGTGTACAGTAAATACAACGCTTCAGTATCAGGAAGACAAAAAGCGTTTACGGGGGGGGGGAAACACTTACGACATGAGAGTAAGACTGAGGATGGTTTTCCCTTGAGGTGGCTTTTCTGTTTGGAACATGATTTCACAGTCATTGTGCGAGGTTAACGTTAACAGATAATCCCTCTTACATGGATTAACCCAATAAGAAAACAACAACTCTACCTGAGCCGGCTCTTGTGCTTGTTGATGGAGGTGAGGCAGTATCTGTGGACAGTGTAGAAGTAATCCTGGTACGGTATACCTGAGGTGATGACCTCCGAGTCCACCACGAAGCACTCTCCCCGAGCGCTGCTCTTATGGAGTGTCTAGAAGCAGAAAAGACAAAGCAAATGGATTTATATCGAACTCTTCATGCACAAGGACAACCCCAAAGTGCTTCACATGAACAGATAGGATTAGACACGAGCAAAGAGCTGTTCAAAACGATAAGAAAACACAGAAACACAAGAAAAACACAATCAAGTTAAAAACAACAAAATCAAAATAATAATAAAAGGAAACAAATCAGGAAGAAGCAGTATTATTTAATGTACAAAACAAAACCAGTACCTGACACCTCTGCTAGTTAAGGCTTCTTCGACTGTGATGATAAGTACAAGTATGTTTCTTCTTTGAGAAAGCCCCTTTCCCCAAACCTTTTTTCAACTTCCTGATTCTCACAATCTGACACCCACATCATGATTGGCTATCAGCGATCTTAATTCTCTGAATGTCGCTCTGTGGTTATCATAAAGAACATTTAAGTAGCTCTATGTATGAATGGTGCTTTCTAAATAAACTTGACATGTCTCTCATTTTCCCCACCTTCACAAAAATCGCTTTTCCATTGAAAAACATGGAAATGTTTAAATATCTGTGAACCTGCACAGTCATAATTGTTAAATGCCATTAAAGTAATATATAAATGCTTTTGATTTGTGACTTGTTTCCACAAAGTTCCAGTCAAAGTATTTGGTCTAGCTCTTTCGACGACTCAAAGTGCTTTTACACAGCAGGTCACACCAACACACCCTGATGGTAGAGGCTGTTGTGTGAAGTGTCCATCAGATAAATCTTATCCCATTCATACACCACTGACGAAGCAGCGGGAGCAACTGGAGGCTAAGTGTCTTGCCCAAGGACACATCGAACGTTTGAACGACCGACTCTACCAACTGAGCCACAGCCGCCCACCATTTCTTTTTTTTCTTTTTGGGCTTTTTTTTGTGCCTTTATTGGAGAGATAGGAAAGGGGATAGAGTCTGAAGTCAGGGAGAGCGAGAGAGAGTGGGGAATGACATGCGGGAAAGGAGCCACAGGCTGGATTCGAACCTGGGCCGCCCGCTTGGAGGACTATAGTCTCCATACATGGGGCGCGCGCACTAACCACCAACCAATAATTTTTAAAAGGTCTCTTAACATTAAAGAGCTGTCATATTACCAGGTGTACACTGGAGACAAGCATGACAAGTCACCACAGGTTCTTTTGTTTTTTTGCTCATTGAATTTTCATGACATTCTCCAGCACTGACATCAGATCTAAAACCATAACTAAGCCTAAAAGTGAAACCATTACACGGTAAGAGTTAAAGATCTAAAAGACAAAGCTACATACAACTACAGAGAACCACTCCACAAAGAGCTTAAAAAAAGGGTTTTCAAGGTTTTTTTTGTATTGTTATTCTACTTAAGCAAAGATTGAGGTCAAAGGTAAATAATAAGAGAGCTAGAAAAGGATGCTGTTTGCCCAGGACTGACCTGTGTCTCCACAACGGGGGCGGTCTTGGGGCCAAGGGGGTTGTTGAGGGCGATGGTGTAGCTTAGCACGCGGCTGGAAGTCCCAATGCTGCTGTCCTGCTGCCATTCACCCACAGAAAGTTCTGACGGAGAGGCAAAGAGACAAAGAGACGGAGGACATGAGCGATTTAAGAGAGAAGAAGAAATCAAAAGTTTGGAGAGATTGAAAATAGAGAGAGCGAAGGACAGGGGAGGTTGAGAATTTGTAAATGAAAGAGAGAGACCACATGATGCAGAGGGGGTGAAGGGAGGGGGGAGAAAGAGAAAGAGAGAGAGAGAGAGAGTAAAAGGAGAGGGTCAATCCATGCTCCTTCATGAAAAAAAGAAAGGAAGAAATGCCCCAATTAGAGCGACACAATGTTCCCAGGCGGGCTGGGCTTCCAACTAGGGTAGCTAGCTTCTGGCCAAACCAACTCCTCGGCTTCCCCTCTGTCCTCATTTCAACTACCACAGAAAAATGCTCCAAATTACACACACTGAATGTATGCAAAACTGTACTTAACTTTCAGTCTGTTGAACGCATGGTTTTACAGAGACAAAGCCGGGCATGAAAAGAGGTACACACAGTAAAAACGGTAACAAAGATGGAGGGTGGTTAACACAGCGTGAACAACTCCTGTGACAGCCTCATTAGTGGGACAATACAGTAGGTTACAGCACGTCTTTGAGGGTTTGCGGGTGGTGTGTAAAGACAATACATACGTAAGTATTTATGGCTGGACTGAGAACTTTTTAAAAAGGAACTCACTCATTGCATTTTTTTAAACAGTTCAAAATTTCACAAGTAGAGATGTAGGGCTGTAGTTTCATGATTATCACGATATGAGCTTTTGCAATACACACATCCCTCAAATTTAAATGATCCCAATCATGAAGAAAAATGTATTTCATGTAAAACCAGCAAAACCTGACTCGGCATTCAAACATGTTGCCTGTTGGGCGGCGAGTCGGGCACAATGGTCCATTTTGATGCATTCAGCTGAAGCTCAAGTTAGATATCAGCTACTCTCAGACTATGATGGTGCCAATTTGGGAGTGGTGGTGGTGGTGATAGTGGGGGGGGGGGGGGTTTAGTTTGGATTCAGCAGAAAAATGTTGCAAACACAGATATTGTGTAAAACTTGAAGACGACTTTTTTATATCTTGCAAGGCTCGTTCGCAGTTGTTGTTTTATTCCCATGGATGAGCTTCATTTTGGCAGCAACACAAAGAGGACACACGCACAAACGTGAACCTTTAACTAAACTTAATGACAGAATTAAAAAAATGCATCACAGCATCAACACAGAACATCCTGTTCCAGTGACAGACGTAAGGAATGAAGAGTATTATTTCTTCCACTGACAGCAGCTGCAGGGGACCAAAAAGCAGCAGAGCAACAACACCGTGCCGTAACTGTCAGCGTTTCAACAGGAAAAACTCGCTCTCTCGTGCAAAATGTCATGCAACAAGTTCACACACGTTCTGTTGTGGTTGCTGAAAAGCATTTTTTTACCTTTTTTTTTTTGCATTTATTATATTTCTGTAGACTGTTTGGCCTGACTATTGATGCTTCTGTTATTGTCCTGAGTTCACTCCTTTGCTCGGTCTGTCGAAGCATTGTAAACATCTGTTTTTAAAGGGGCTATATAATTAAAGTTATCATTATCATTATTTTCACAGCAAGAATGTGCTACTTTTTGATCCAGTAGATGCCGCCTTGAACACCAGCATGAAACCAAAACAAACTGCTGTTTGGCCACACCTCCGCCATATTGAAGACTCCGCTCTCCTCCAGCGGCACATCTCGAACCTCCCTTCTACTCGCGTTCAGCGCAAGCAGCGGACAAAATCGACCTTCGCTCGAGCTGCAATCGCCTGTGGCCTGCATTGTTGTGTTAGCGGGCTAATGTTAGCACACTTTGGTTAGCTTGTAGCTTCACATTATATGTAAACTGGCACTGAAAGACGTGATCTAAAAACACTAATAAGCATAAGTCAAATAAGCAGCAAGTACTATGTAATTCTTCTTTTCTCTTAACTTTTATATGCATGGGGAGGAGTCTGCCGTCTTTGTCTAAATGATCCAAACAAGTGAAATGTGTACTTTTCCTAAAAGGAATATTGCACTTTATTGAGTGAACTATCGAGTTGGGAAACAGAGCAGACACCATATGACATGTCCTAGAGCGATGAAGGCAGTCTGTGTGTGTGTGTTCAGGTCAGCTAATATTAGCTGTGGCTACTTCATCAGATAAACATGTACATAAAATACATTTCTAAACATCCCAAAAATATGTGTTTCTGTAAGGCATCGTTTAACGAGAAAGACAACAACTCTGACAATCCAACACATATTTCCTATGGATACAGACAACACCTTCTATTTATTTTTTTTATTTTTATTGAAAGACTGCTAATGGCAGAAATGACATACTGTACATTTTAAATTTCATAATGCTGTAATAAAGGTTGAGGTGTTCACCCTGCAGCGTATCTGTTTTTCTGCACAATATACAAGCAGTCCCCACTGTAGGCCACCATATTTGTTCATTGTACCTACCAGTAAAGTGTCTCTGGGAGAAGAGGTGCTGGATGAAGTGTGTGTCGGCAGAGAACAGCAGGTCGTGCAGCTTGTCTACGCTCATGCGGACTACGGTGTTGATGTGCACCCGCCCGCTCAGGTCAGAGCAGAAAGACTCCACTTCACCTGAAGGTCAAAAGCAGAGAGAAAAAAAAAAGGTTTATTCCCCCATTCTATTTGAATTTCTGGCCTTTTTTTTTTTCTTTCGACACAGTATTAATAGGTAGGGCTCACCATGTCTGAAGTTATGAAAATCTCAGCAGTTTTCAAGACACAGAAAAATGTAAAGTAGACCTTTTCTAGCTTGTTATACTGAGTACAAAGCTTGCAGTGTTTTTAATAACTCATTTTATTGCCAATTTTCTTCAGGTGGGGAAACAGATCACTGCTGAATAGCTGATATCCAAATGAGTGACGGACTACTAAACAGTAAAAAATATCCTTTCCTTTCCTTCATATCCTTCTCCTGTTAACTTTGGATTATCATTAGTTAATAATCTGACTGTACCAATGAAAGGTGGATCATTTACAGTCTGCAGATATCAGAAGGAAAGAACATAAGCACTCACTGCATCTACTATTAGCCCCTTGATAATAGAATACAATAGGAAATACTTTATTGTCTACTTCTTTAAATTGGCTCATAATGAAACTCAAACTGAATCCTGAAACTGAGTCGTCCATTTTTGAAAACCTCAGTGCCCAGAATAAACCTTTGCTGCAAGTTTAAAACATTAAAGTGGTCTGACTAAATGGTGAAGGGACTTGAGCTTGTAAAGCGCTTTTCTAGTCTCCTGACTGCTCAAAGAGCTTTTACACTGCAGGTCACACCTACACATTCTCACACCGAGGCTGCTGTGTGAAGTGACCATCAGTAGTAACTAATCCCATTCATTCACATTAATATGTAACTTTGGGTTAAGTGTCTTGCCCAAGGACACATCGACATGTATCTGCAGGAGCTGGTGATCAAACCCTCGACCTTCTGGTTGAGAGACGACCGACTCTACCACTGAACCACAGCCGCCCTGATATCTAGTTTGATCCATTCACAAAGTACAACATAAACATCTAATATTGTATTAAAAAGCTTTGATTGAAGAGGTTTAATTCCAATTGACTTTCTTTTCCATAAAGTGTTAAGATTCTCATCTCTGCTGTGATGGTCGGTTCACTCTCACTCTCCGGCATATGCTATATGAATGTGAGATGGTAGAAGACGTCTGGTCAAAATTTGTGAAATGTATTAACAATGTATTGAAAATAGTGTCCAGTATATCAGGTATCTTACCAGTAGAAGCTAACCTGCTCTCAAAAGTAAGTAAGTAAGTTTATTTATATAGCACAAGAACAGACCTCACGAAGTGCTTCACAATAAAGAAGAAGTGAGTTCCTCATAAGGGAGTGCAGGATTGTGCTGAGTCAAATCAAAAGAGACAGTCAGCCTTAAGGAGTGGAGGGATGAGTTGGCTAGGATGGCTGCTTTTGAACAGCTAATATCCTAAATTAAAGATTAAACTAAGGTTTTCAGATCTGTTTGGGGTCCCTCCCTGGAAATGAATTTGTAGAGATGATCATAATGATATTTGATGTTTAGACCCTTTCTGTACATCATGTAATAACATGCGCTTAGTGGATGATTATGAGATACAGTATATCTTTGTATATCTATAAACACATTCAAAAGCGTAATCGTAAAAGAACAAGACTCACTCTCTTCTTGCGTGTCAGAGGAGTTGCTGGGGTCTGTGGGCAGTTCCTCATCGTTGGTGATGTCCAATGACGAGAGGTTTCCCAGACTGGTGGTTGGAGGGGGCAGCATGTGATTTGCCGACTCAGACAGGCTGTCCCCACCCTCTTCCAGATTCTGATACAGTGGGGAGGGAAAAAAAAGCACATGAGAGGATCCTTAGCCAGAGGGTTGTAGGAAAATCAGCCCATTGTCATATGACTGGATAGGAAAAAGAGGCTTCAGCTGAGCTGACCTCATGTTGACATGGCCTGAGCAGACATACCACTGCAGCCGAGCAATTAATCTGAAACTGACATGCAGTAAAACACAGCACTCCTTTTATTTACTTTAGCTTAGCTGGTGCCTGATCCGACTCTATCGAGATCAAGACTGCGGGGGAAACGACCACAGCAGCTGTTTCTGAGCAGAAACTGATTGGACATGGACTTAAGCAGAACGACTGCACAGTATTTGAAATCCTTACATAAATACATCCCTAAATTCTCTTCTAGTGTTTATTTTTAATTCGATGACACATTTAATCTAATTTTATTCAGTATTTCTGGATTTTATCTGGAGGCTACAGACGGGGTCAGATTTGTGTCAATGCTTATCTAAGTCAGAAATCTTCTACTAAGGTCACATCAGTCGTGTTTACATATCAGTTACCGCCTTTATTAGTGGATTTATTAGCTGGTTTTCAAATGATTTGTTAATCAAATACAAGAGGAGCGACATGTCGACGGGCACGTTTATTTTCTTACTATTACACAAAGAGTTACCCAGATCAGTGGAACTGTGATGCTCTGTATGAAGATTCATATTCAACCTTTGCTCATAACATGTCGACATAATGAGAATCAGATTAAAACATCGCGCACATAAAGCAGATTTTAAGTTAAAACACAACACAGATGAGGGGTTACGTTTGCTGCCATGATTCACAAAGGTCCACTGTATCAAAACATGACAGTGAGTGTATGACACACAAATAGCTGACACAACACACACACACACACACACACACACACACACACAACACATAACACACAACACACACGATTCAGTTCAGATGTTAAACACCATCCAACACTATATAGTACTATATAAAACTCTATTGGTGGTAAAATACTGAATACACGATCTGTTTACTCGTCTGATGTTCATTGGTTGCTCTTAACGTGGCTCACTGGTTTAGTTGTATTGTAGTAAAATAATTAGTTACAGAATATAAACGAATCTCTGCTCACTGATCTCAGCTTTGTTTCAGTTCGTTGACATGGTGTCAACTCTGATTAAGAGAGGGGAAGCCTGTTGAAACTCCACAGAGCAGTATGTGGAATCTGCAATGAAGCGAATGCTAACTAGTTAGCTGTCCACAGATATCAGACAGATGGATAACAATTGCAGGAGCAGCTGAATCCTTGAGTAGACTACACTTCTCTGTCTGTTAGATAGATTTGATACCAACAGCACAAAGCTGCGCAGGGAATCCTGCTAAAATAGTAAAAGATTTAACTCTTTCAGGGTGGCAAATATTGCATTATTATAGCTCAACTGTCCTGCAAATGAAGTAATAACAAAACTGATCTCTAATGCAAAAAGAAGAAGATATACAGTAATACTCAGACTTTCTATTTCAGTGTTGAATGTCAGAGTACATGTGGATGTCCAAAAGAAAACTCACAAATGAGGCAGCAGCCGACACCGGAGCGGAGGCAGAGGCGTTCGTTGGAGTGGTCGATGGCAGAGAGCTTTGGGAGCTGGGCGGACTGGGTTCAAGCGGTTCGGAGCTGAGCCTGCGTCCCGATGAGGAAGGCACCTCTATGGGCAGACAGGAAGTGGACGAAGGGGGAGAGGAGCCCCCTAGGTTCGAAGGTGAAGGAGAGATGGTCGGAGCACAGGGCACCAGGGGAAGGGGGGAGCTGCCCGTGGAAGGAACCGACACCGAGCTCAGGTCTAGAAGATCAGTGACCGACACAGACTCGTCTCCTGGCCTGTGGAAGAGAGAGAGAGAGAGAGAGACGCTGTGTGAGCGAGGCGAAGATACATACAAAGAAAGTCATACTGCGAGAGACACACACAGAGGAAGGGTTTGTTGGAGAACATTGGGACAGCCGTAGAAAATCTTTAACTGATTAAGACGCAAGGAGACGTGAAGGACCCCTAGTTCTTAAAAAATAAATGAATTACTTCGGTTTGGTCTGCAAAAAAGCACATGTATAAACAACCCCTGTCTTAGCAATGATCCACATGTTTTGTAATGAAAGAGCAAACTAACCCCTCAAGCTGTGTGTATGTCGATTAGTCTGGTGATATCACCAGACTAACCGACATAAATACATAACCGAGAACTGTTGTTTTTACTTTACATTCTCTCATTAAGCAAGTAGTCAAAAAAATACTGCTCAAGTAAAGAAGTTAACAAGACCTTTACTGTTGCAGAGTACTTTTTAAAAAGTCAATAATACTTGAAAAATAATCATATTAATCAACATAAAGAGCATTGTCAGGCGGTGACTGACACAAACTTTGCTGACAAAAGTTCCTTTTTGAATATAAATAAAAAAACAGAAGGGAAATTGAAATTGGCCCTGGAGCAAACTTCCCTCTCACACACTCTCTTCAAGCCTGTTAAGTGAGTCAACATTCCTTCATGTAAACATTGACAACCTAAGACTGTAAAATGTAACGCCATGAATAAGCATGTTTTCAGACTCACAGTAAACCGTTCATGTGTTCGGCGGTGGGAGAGACGTAGTCGTCGTCTTCACTGGTGAGGCCCAGCTCAGTGCCGTAACACTGGTGCACGATGTGCCAGAGCTCTTTGGGGGACAGGGACTGGAAAATAAACACAACACTCGTACGTTCAGATACTGCCATATTCGACCACACAGCAGCAATACATAACAGTGTGTCTGTTTTGAGTGAGTGTCGGCTGCTTGATTTCAGTGAACGTCACATAATGGGGAGGCACTTATCAATCGATCATTTCAGCAAATACGTCTCAAAGTAACTCTTCTGATTCTAATGATTTCAAAAATTCACACACTCGCACAAAAATTCCTGAAAATGTCCCCAAATCTTCGGGGTGAGTTTCATGTATGAATGCAATTTTTTTGTATCTCAACTGTGTATGTTTTTATACCCTGCAAACTTCACATGAAGAAGGGGTGAGACCAAGTGCACAGGCATGGATGATGACATTTATATCACGTGACCAGTGCAACCTTTGTTCATGTAATGAAGCTGCGTCATACTCTTTTCTGCTTTCCAGTAAGTTCTTCTCCACTCGTTCATACATCTAATTACACGTAGCATTGGTATAAAGACCAAAAAACTGTCATTATAGTGTCAGACTCTGAAAAGGTGTAATGACGGTGGAAAACGAAGCGACACATTCATATTAATGCCGCAGCAGCATAATACTGGTGTACCTTCACAGTGTGTTACAGCGTTCCTGAAGCGCAACAGAGCGCTGCGTGTAAACACAGCGGGAGCTCAACATACACACACAGTCAGACATAGACACACACACACAGCGCTGCTCTCCCCTGCTGGCTCTGCTGATCCTCGCCCCATGATTCATCTCGCTCTGTTTCTGTGTTTAAATTGAAAGCCAATGTGCCTCCGCATCCGAGCTTTCCAGATAAATGTCTATATTCAAACTCTGCAAAATAACAGGGATTTAAATTGTTCTCCGAGGCCTGTGTTTGTGGCCGTCTTCCGCTTCCTGACACCGTTTTCTATTCTAAGACGGTAACCACTAGTTGTGTCACACAAGCACGAGCTGCCAGAAGGGTGGGCGAGCGAGCAGGCCGTACCTTATCCAACAGCGCGTTCTGCCACAGCCGGAATATCATCATGAAGCTGCGATCCCTCGCTCCGAAAGACGTGAAGAAGTGCTGAGAGGGAGAATATCAGGAAGGAAGGAAGGAGAGAAAAATGTGATTTGATGGATGGTTTCCCTCTGTTGGGATGTTTGCTTTGTCACACTCAGTGGAGATAAAGTCGAGTCAGCTCATTTCATGCTGCTTCACTTGCAAAAATGGACAATTTGAAGTAAACAGTATCAAAAGCAAACAGTTTGCACGCTCTTGAATCAGCGTTTTAACCGTAAAGGGCAGAGAATGTGTCAGTGGAGTACAGGAACATGCTGCTGCTACAACAAATTGAAATTCCAAGTCTTCGGTTCTGGGAAAAGTGTTCACGTGTGTCTAAAATTATTTCTGCTCGAGTCTGACCTTCTCATTGTCAGTGCTGATCTGGATGGCGTTTGGTATGAGCTTGGCGGTCTTCTCCTTGGTCATAGAGGTCACGTCTTTCAGCAGGATAGTGATCTGAATAGAAAAGGGAGTGTTAGTTAAGTGTATGCTGCAGTGTATTCATCTCTGTGCGACACTCTTATCTCACCAAGGGCCTGAGCGTATCTATATTGACCTGCAAACAGGTATATTAAATGGACTCCTTATCAGGTGGGGCATGAACCCGGTGACAACAGGCACGTGCTCGTGTTTACACAGTGTGTGCATGACTTACAGTGGTTTCCCAGCGGAAGATGTTACTGTAGAAACAAAGCCAGTTCTCTGAGAGATAGAGACGGCCCTGAAGCAGTATGTCCTTCTGCAGAGCACAAGAGTAGTCTGAGAAAAGAAACGGGGGAAAGAAGAGACATCAATCGACCCTTCTCAAGTAGAGGCACTTCCTTCTCTTTGTGCTCCAGTGACAATTAAACAAGCAGCAAGTCATCAGTCAATAATCTTATCCTTTTATATACAGAGCAAGATATGCTGTGTGCTAGGCTGTGGAGTTAAAGTATGCTCGTCCATGTCCAAAGGTGTTGCTGGCAGATCTGTAAAACTGACACTTGATACCCTGGCAAAAGGCATCGCTGGTTCTGTAGCTGGGTGCCAACATTTGTAGATTTCCTGTTTGTGGACATCCAGACTTCCTAAACCTTCTTTTTACCCCCTACCCCGCCCCCCCATTTGTCTCCCGCTGTGATGTACATGTGTGAGCAACCAGATCAGCAGGATTTCAGTGGCATTCCTCCAGATATTCTCTAGAAATATTCAAGAGTGCATATGTGAAAGTAGCTAATGGCCTCACCCTAGATTTGTTCTCCTAAGTACAACTAGGCGATTTTTGCATTAACTGGTTGTTGGTCTGACCCTGACTTTAGGGTCCATATTCTTCCCTGACCCATGACTCTTGCCTTTTGGTAAACCCTTCATATTACTTTTTGCCAGTCATGTTACAGCAAGCAGTATTCATAAAACATGCAAGAGGTGAGTTTCCATTAAGTATGTAATACACAGAAATCCTCATACCAGTATGATTTTGAAACATAACTCACCCACTATAAGTCGCTCTGAATCAGGAAGTTTCTTAAAGAGTTTGCGAAAGTCCTCGTTCCGTTGTTTGTATGTAGGACTGAGAACCTGAGGGCGAGGAGCGGACAGAAAAAAAGGAGAGCGTTGTCAATTTTCTTCACAACAGTTGGTAGCCTCGGGCTGGACTGGGATATCGACCGGAGCAAACAAACAAAGTGTTTATCTAAAGGATGCTTAGCATTTAAAAACGTCAACAAGCCCTTCAGCCCAAATTAAACAAACATCATGAAAGGATCCTGGAGTTAAACCGTCCAATATGAGGCTGTTGGTGTACTTACATTGTACCAGCTCTGCATTTTCTGTAAAGAAAAGAAAAGCCTTTATATTAGTGAACAGCTCAAATGTCCTGTGACAATAACAAGTTAGTGTACTGAGTGCTTTTCACAGTTACGGAAAACATTTCGGTCTATATGGTTTTGAAAACAAGTAACACTTTTATTTTAGAAAGTGCATGTTTGTTCACAGTCTCCTAGCCTGAGCGTGTTTTATGTAACATTGAGGTTTTGCAGTTTCAGTTGTATCACAACTATCAGCACTTCTCCATTTTAACAAGGCAGGTGGCACGGATCAGCAGTGATGAAAAGTCAACAGGATAACAAGCTGTTTGTTTCACAACAAAGAGCCTGAAATTATACGATGTGAAAGCTTAAACTGCGCCCTCAGGCACACAGAAACGGGGACACCGTCTGAGTGAGCAGACACGCTTACTTTCTACAGCCTGTTAACAGAAACAGTCGACATTGTATCTGCTATAATGGTGCAGTTAAAGGCAACATAAATGCAGAATACATCTATCAAGATATCTAGTATGGATGAAAGGGAAAAGGGATGTAATCCACTTTTTTCCTACCATAACATTTTTTTTGATGTGTGAGATTTGTTTGAATCTAAAATGCAGCGTTAAGTGCATCTGGATTATAGTTCTGCATAGTCTATCTTTGGTACTTTTCTTGGCAGCTTTTCTCTATTTGCGTTTGTTTAGTTTTCACTTCTCAGATCCTTTTCACCGTGAGAAACTCCCTTCTTTTGTAACCTTTGCTGGTCCAGCTTTATTTTTTCTAAGTACCGTAAATTAAGAGCAATGAAAAACCTGAGCAAGTACTCCTTTATGTGAACACGTACTTCTGATCAGAAAGTCTTCAGGGAAATTATGCAAGTCTTTTATTAGGACAAACCAGAAGACTGTAGAGTAAACAGTCTTGGTATTTTAACATGTTTGATTTAGTCGTGTCATTGCTCATAGGAATCACCTCAAAGCAAACACAAAGCATACAGGCAGTTATACTGTATCTCAAACAGAAACACCAGTTATGAGTTGATGCCTTAGCGTTCCCTCTCCAGGTCTGGGTAAACTTGACATGAACCTACCCATCTACCTCTCAGCTGAAGTCATTTTACCATCTACAACATATGTCTTAGATTAGCGGATTATCTCTCTTACCTTG